AAGTTGATTGTAATATTGCAAACTCCGGGGAAAACTACATCCGGTTTGACTGTAAAGAGTATAGGCCCTCCCATAGTCCGCATTTTACTGTATATTGGAATGGTTAGGATGTATGGGGCATTGATATAACATTCACTTTTTATGTGTTATTTAATTTACTAATCCGTTCATGCATGTTCATACCTTGAAAATTGCATGAAATTCTTATCTAGGCTACTATTTATTGATTATTCATAATAAATCACTAGCGATGATATGTGATGGCGTTGTCTTCGAAACTTGTTACATAATAAGTATGCAATACTAATTGTGATAAAATCACCAGTGAAACCCGTGGCTGAAATATGTTTCATAGCACTTCATATTACAAATGTCTAATATAACTTGTATAATTGCATTTCCTAAGGTTTGTCGCCAACTACACCTTTAAAGAGAACTCCTTCACATTCACTCATGAAATACTGCAGCACACACAGGAATATAAGGAGCATGTATCTTGCAGAGATTTACAAATTACTTCAATCGGACACATGGTACGATGGTTGGTTGCTATGCAGTTTGCTCCCGGAGTCAAATTGCGATTGTTGTTAGTTTCCGGTCTCCTAGCTGTGATTTAAGGCGCGGTTAAAATACCGCGTCTTTAGCGCTCTCGTTTGCGTTTACTTTCAAACATTTTTAAAACAATACTTTCCCAATTAGTCTTTACTTGAACCGTTTAAAGATATTGCAGCGCAAACTAGTCACAGGACAAATGCAAAGCGTTAAAATAAGGTGTTATTATGGGCATGTATTTTCGCATTCCGGTCGAAGGATATCCCGCCCACAAGGACAAGGTCCCCTTTGAAAACCCCCCTGGATTTATAGTATTGCCAGAATTATAAGCGAAAATAGCTGAAAATTCCGCATTTTTCGTTTTATTTTTCAAATATTTTTGCTAAAACGTAAATCTGGAGACACTTCCCAAATCAAAGTTGAAGAATATGATTTATTGAAGAACTTCTAATGGTTAGCAGTAACGAAGAAAGGTGAGGAGAAAATATCCTTCGGCAAACTCATTTGCATTATTAGCGTATTTGTGACTTGCCATATTGTTGCTTCACCACCCGCTGTCTTGTCTTTCTAACTCGATAGATTATTGCTGTAAAAGTCAAATGTGTGATGGAAAAAAAAGGAAATCCAGCAAAATTCAACAAACAGAGACCACTTGCGGATGGTTTTTGGAAAAAATCTCCGTTCTTTAAGCTCAGAGAAGGCCAAGGAGATCTGTCACGCAAGTCACGCGAGGTTTATACTGTACTAAGTATAAACTGAGGTTAATTGAGCTTGGCCGAATTGGCATTGGAACCCAGCTTAATTAAGTTACTAAATAGTATAAGCTGTAGAACGGAAACTACTGATTTATCTGCATGTATTCTAGTTTTCTCATATTTGTTTACTTCGCCTCATACTGCGTGCCTTGAGTTAGCTGGTTTCTTTACTTCGATAAAAGCTTATTGTGTGGCTTACACAAGTTTTATTTACATTAATATAACTACAGAATACTGAGTTATAGTTTACAAAAGAAATCAGTTGCACATGCGTTTATTTAAGATATGATCGGGGAGCCGTCTTCTCGCTAAAGGTCAATATAAAGACAACATGCCTTGGTAATCTGAGTCGTGAGAGTAGCAGACGTACTATGTGATCCTCACGCGAAAACCATCATGAAAAGCGCTTGGAATTGTAACTAAATGATAAAATAAAGTGTGCACAAAGACATGAAATTTGTTTCTGGAAAAGCTGCGTATCTTAAGGAATTTAAATCACTGGTATACTGTAATACTATAATTTTATGTCGCTACGGATCAGTTGCACAGCCGATTATAAACTGTAGTATATTTGGCAGGCATATATGCGTGCACTGTAGGTAAATCTGCTATATATATTGTCATCTATACAATGGAAGTATGTGTTTATATATCTCAAAATACATCATACCCAAATATAAAATGAAAGCGTTTTATAATAGAACATATTCATCAAACAAATTCTTGCGTGAACAGAACTATAGTATAGCTAGATTTCTTGTCGCCAACCAAAACAGTCAGACTGAGTCAATATGTTTCTCAGTCGGTATATTACTTTAAATAGATATATACACTGTATTAGTACTAAGTAGCATCAGATAATTTTCCCCAAATTACCTACACATACTGCTGAAGAAACACGAATTTAGGCGAAAAGAGGAACAGTTTGTACACTGGTTTGCATTCCGTAATATGAAAGATAAAATATTAATACAAGAGGCGATTTGGTATATCGTCTAGAGCTATTCGACGGCAGTCCTAAGTAATAAATCCGATTCTTATTTGACAGCTAAATAAAATTATCACAATAGTTCCATTTAAATATTGAAGTATATAAACCACTTAAAATATACCAAAAAAATTGTTCTAACAGTAAGAAATTTAAAGCCAGCCAAATACATGACCTTTCCGATCATAAAATAACACGACGCCATTTCGCATTCACACCAACACCGCTGGAAAAAACGAAGCCCGCGCTTCCGGGAGCAAAACGCATAGCAACCGACCATCATGTGGTTAAAGATGTATTTAAAGGAACAGTCAGATTCTCGCAAAGGAAAAAGGGCCGATAGAAAGAGTGGCTACCTCAATTTAACGATGAAACATCCCTCTCATGACTGCGGTTTGGAAAATGAAGTCACTTCTGTCATTGAACTTGGTGTCCCTTGTCACATCAAATAAAAAATGAAATACAGGCAGGTTTGACATTCATCTCTGATCACCAGGAAAATATTACCTTTGTATGCCACAAGATCTGGGAATTCATCAGTCAGAGAGGTTTGCTGGAATTATCACTGAAATCCAGATCAGCAAAATCATTTAACATTTTCTTTTCGATGACATGGATGCAAAATTGAATTGAATAAGTATGCCAATTTCAATTATATTTGGAAGGTATTGGGAATTTGAGAACAGGTTTTTCTTGTGTTCAGAATGATAGAAATAAATGCACTAAGTTTTGGTTATAAATTGCCAGAAGCACAAGATAAAGTCATCACCCATCTGCTTTATGTCCCTGGAACATTTTCTACAGAATGTAAATTATTTTCGGCCTCTGGATCGCGTTGCAAGAAATGTGCCCATATAATGAAGATGGATGTACAACGAAGCTAGAGAGCGTAAGAAAAATAACATCATCCACCCAATGTGCAACAAACAATATCTCAACAATGAAGCAGTGCCTTTTTTAAGGAATTTTCACTGGAGGGGCAAAACAGGAAAAAAAGGCAGAACGAAAATTATGAGCCGTCGAGGTTTGGTGAACGCGCGAGTCTGAAGAGAGATTTTGTAAAACTTTAATTTATTAACTTCACCTATATTTTACTTTAAACAATAACTTCAACTCTTTGTAGCTATAACCGTACAGCTATAACCAGTGGTGTAGCCAGACCTTAATTATTTGGGGGGGGGAGGTGAACCTCACACCGAAGGTGTGAGACCGTCTAGAAGGGTCCGGGGCATGCACCCCCGGGAAAATTTTGAAATCTAGGGTCCCTGAATTGCGATTTCAACGAATTCCGAAGATTATAAAGTACATCGAAGACATGAATTTTTCCACACATTTCTACTCGGAATTAAATAAATTGGAAAAGTCACCTTGAAAAATAGGAGGAGGGGTCAGTGTCACCTTATTTCCTCTCTGTGATGCTGGGGGGGGGGGGAGAAAACCCCGATGTGATTTTGATCAGAAATGTTGCATTTAAATCATTTTAGGTTCTATGAGACACCATTTCCGCATTCTCAAAATTGCGTTGCTTTTTCATACGATACAGAATAAATCTGAGAAGAAATATTCATGGTATGCATGATGATGCATACATGTATTTAACAGTTAAAAATCTAAACTAAATCTATTCTTCTTTGAACCGGCATTTTATCGGATGGTTTGCATGAAATATATCGCTATTATGAAATATTCGGTGAAGAACAATATGAATTACACACAAGATGGCTGTGGAGGAGGCTATGGAAGGGCATAATCTCATCAAGTAAATCAACTGCAATTCTGACAGCAATCATGAGCAATTCTGCTTCGCACTTCGGGGGCAGAAATGGCTTTACTGGGGGGGGGCGAAATTCTTTCCCTGGGGGGGGGGGCAATTGCCCCCCGCCAGATATATAGTTAAAAAAGGCACTGCAATGAAGAACAATTTTTGAACAATTTTTTTTTTTTATTAATTTGCCCAAATTACATAGTTATTTACATTTATTTCCTTTTGAGATACTTTCAGAGAGCTAGAGACCTTTGGAAACCTGTATAGGCTTTTATTTAAGGCCCCTATAGTTTTATACGAGTAAAAATTAAGTCACTAAAAATTCATAAAACCAGTATATTGTCAAAAGTACTGTCAAGTCTTAAGACTTTAAATAAAGGACAGAACTGATACCTATAGTGCTATACTTACAAGTAGAATAACTATAGATGCTCAAATATACAAGAGACAAGTAGAAAGAGTAAGAAATTATGGCTATATTTACAGTGCTTAATTATTGAGTAGTAGGTGCTTTTTAATTTTCTTTTTGAAGGTAGTATAAAATTTGATATTTTTATAATTACAATCTAGTTTGTTCCAAATATTAACTCCTTTATCAGAAAGGGTTTGTTTTGCATAGTTTGTTCTTTTATAAGACTTATGAAGTTGTGATGAAGTTCTTGTGTTATAATGGTGAATTTCATCATTCCTGGTGAAATAATTACTAAATACTTCTGGTAAATTTTTGAGGTAATAATATTGAAACATAAACAGACAAATTAGGTAATCATTTATATTTTCAAAGTTCAATATCCCCAGGTTTCTGAAGAGGGGCTCGATGTGTTCATTAACATCATCATCATCCACCCAATGTGCAACAAACAATATCTCAACAATCATTTATATTAATTTCTTAACATGAACCTTGTACTATTTACATTTGCAGGCATAGAGTTTGCGTTCATTCTAATAAGTTTGGATTCTTTTTTCGCAGGTGCCTGACTCTATTTCTTAACTGTTCGCTTGTTGAATTCACCTCCGGGTATCGCATCGTGAACAGACGGTGTACTTCTTGCCATCTTATAGCGTGGTTTCCTACATCAGACCGATTGTTTCTTGCCAGTATGATCAGAGCGTTGTTCAGGTTGGTAGGTGGCGGTCTGGGTGGAGGTTGGTTGTCAGCGGGTGGCTGCTCTTCATCATCACTGTCCAAGTTAATAATCGGTTGGGGAGGTCGTCGAGGTGGTGGAATCTGTGGTGGAATGGGTGGTGCTGGGTTGCGATCTAACCACCATATTGGTCCAAGAGTGGGATCGGACTTGAACCCTGCATGCCTGTATCCGAGAAGGAGTTTGAGATCACCAAGAATGGCTTTTTCTCTAATGGTTAGCTCGCGGTTTACATCATGCCTCATAACATTGTTGGCAGCAAGAATTTGCCTCGCCTTACGAAAAAGACGACTGGCATCCTGGAGGTATTCGGCTACTGTTATTGTTCGGCAGCTTGTGCGTACCTCGAAGCTGGCCGGGCTGAAAAGGTGGTGCGTCAAAATATGCTGTATGGCATCCATGTGGTGGTTGAAGCGCGCTCTGACTTCCATGCGCAGTCCACCGACTAGATCCCTTGCCTCGCGCATGGCCGCCAAGATGGAAAACATGTTGTCATAGGCACAGCCTCCCTGTCTCGTCGTGATGGTCGCATTAAGTGGCTGCGAGTTGGAAGCCCTCAACAGGTGGTATTGCAGGTTATAGACCTTTAGAGATTTTATCGGCCCATCATCGGTAAATACGAGGTTTAGGTTTCCACCAAGGGTAACTCTGGGGTTAGGGTTTAGTGGTGTAAGGATTGGGTAAGGGTTAGGTGTCACGTGGAGAGGATATGGGGCATGGGGTTTTATCAGGTACAGGAAATCGGTGCGGCGGGATAGGGAAATGTCCCATTCGTTGGGGGGGAAGCCATTATCTTCAGCAGCGCAATCCAGGAGGTCTCTTGGTAGTTCGGGGAAGGTGTTCAGTTTCATTTTCATTCTGAAATTGACTAATCTTACAAATTCGACACCAGCATCGATGAGGGCAAAAAGGAAAGTTGTCACAGGAACAGGCTTGTTGCAGCCTCTGATAAGGTGGGTGGCCTCATCCCCAGATGGAAACACAGTGTGTCCGTTGGCAGAAAAATACTCGCACAACTGCACCTTTGTCTGCACCGAAAATGGTATGAGCGTAATTATTGGATGCCAGGTGAGCACGATGTATCTCCACTCTTCGTGCCGCCACAATCTTCCTTTGTTTGTCGATAACAAGAGAGAGCTGCCCACAAACGACTGCAACACAGCAAGTGTTTCGTCATGGACCACCGGGATATTTGAAGGCCATGTGGTCAACATCGACTTCGTCCAATGCTGCCCTTTCAGTAAAAATCCTAGGATTAGGGTTATCCACTAGAAATCTGGACATTTAATGAAATCTGTGAAGAAAATAAATGAAATAATCATATTAGGATTTTTAAGGATTTTTTGGAATTTTTTGGATTTTTTTTTTTTTTTTTCAAATTTCATCCAGGTTTTTTTAAGAGGTCAGAGGTGCAAATTTTAACATCAAATTACATGAATTTGGATATGCATAATTCATGACCTTTTAAGTTCGTTTTGTAATAAAAAACCATTCCATTAGCGACTCGGGTTACTTAAAAGCATATATTAATGAAAAATTATAACAAACTTACATTTAACAGGGTCTAAATCAGTGATTTTCGGCAAGCTTTCTTTTGCAACAGTGACTTTCGGTTTCCGCAAGAGGATAGGAGGCAGTTTAATGGGTTTAGGGGGTCAAATGGGGGGATAATAGGTGATTTACCGCGAAAAATTTTTCAATTATTTTTTCAAAATTTTTGGGTTTTTTTGCAAATTTTGTTTAACTTTTCATAATTGCCTTGTTCGTCCAACCGATTATCTCCCCATAAGCATAGCGAAAAAGTCCTTAGTTTAGGCTCCGCTCAGAGGAGAATTGCAAAAAACACGACACTTAAAATTTCGGCTAGGGTTAGGGTTAGGGAGCGTTGGACACTCTATAATCGTGGCTAAAAAAAATATCAACCCTACCAATTCCGGGGGGGGGGGGGGGGGGGGGG